TGTCTACGTGTCCATATTTACACGTCTCTTAAACCTTATGTGTTCTTTTCTTTTTGAAACTAGGGATTGTCTGCTCTGTCTGTTTGAATACTAGATTAATTATATTAATATCCGATTATGGTTGTATATTCTATTTTAGATCAGAATCGCCTGGCAGCAGCTGATTTATTTCTCTGCAGTGTTCTTTCCAGTTGCCCTGTGGGTAACTTGCTGTCAGGAATGCAAGACCTATCCGTGAGAAAAAGTACAGTCAGCTACTGTCTAGTAACTTGTACTTTTTAGGGAGGAATTATCTGTATATTTTTTTTAATTCACCTTTGGTAAAATCTGACTACGCTATGTGGTATGTTTCTCTGAACTGTCTCCAACCTGTGTTATTGTAAACACTACCTTTGTCTTCTGCAGGTTAGCAGTATGCTCAGGATACTCAGCTGGGGCAAAGTTTCACCTGAATAACAAGGTTTTTCCAGATCTGTTACACAAGAGTATCACGCAATTCCTATTTTTCATCTACCCTTGTTGATGTCAAATTTTCAGGATTACGTGTGAACCTAGCACACAGAGCATAGTTTTGTCTCATTTCCAGGAAATGGATATAAAAGAAACAAAAGGATAGTATCGTGCTGGACGTTAAGTATTGCCTATAGTGAGGTGAAATAACACACGCGTGATCAGGTTAGAGGACTATCCGATGAACCAAGGTTTGGGGATACTAAGAGTCATGTAAATGAGAGCAAGCCAAAATGTGAAGAATACCAGTGATCAGAATTAATGTAAGAAATGGCAAATCTTAATGTACTAGAAATCTGAATTAATGAAATAACTTGCCTGTTCAATAGGTTTATAGTGTTACGTGTTAAAGGTGACACATTGATGAAACATTGGAATGTGCGTCTCCAATTCATAAAGGAGTAGCAATCAGTGCCACAGAGCATTGGTGTTAGACATGACATCAGAGCGACACACACTGAGTAACTGTAGCGTAAATTGTAGTGTTTTCGTTGAACACAATTTTTTTTCCCAGTGGTTATACATCATCACAAGACCTGCATAGGCCATATGTATGGTCTCCTTCCCTCCCACCCCCATCCCATGTTGCTGAAGGGGTTAAAACCCCTTCAGTGACTTACCTGAATCCAGTGCCGATGTCCCTTGGCGGTGGATCAGGCTCCGCCCATGCTCCTCCACCACCGATGTCGCACGGTGGGGGAGACCTAATGCGCATGTGCTGCAATGGCCCCGCGCGCACATTAGACCTCCCCATAGGTAAGCATTATTCAGTGCTTTCCTATGGGGATTCTGGCAACGCTGGAGGTCCCTATGCATAGTGTGAGGACATCCAGCGTTGTTTAAAACTTTTTGTGTTTTATGAATACGGAAGTCCCTAAAGTTGCTGTCTGATTGACAGCCATTAGAAGAGGACTTAACCCTGCAAGGTAATTGTTGCAGTTTATAAAAACTGCAATAATTACACTTGCAGGGTTAATGGTGATGGGAGTTTGCACCCAGACCACTCCAATAGGCAGAAGTGATCTGCCTGGAGCATCCCTTTAATTATTTGTTTTGATTGGTGGAGAAATTCAGACATAGGTTATTGTGCATATAACAACTGAAACCCAAACCAGTTCTTATTTTCCCACTGATCACACATGCTAAGAAGCAAATTTCTCATCTCGTGAGTCAGTATATCTGACTGCCTTGTTAGAGACGGCATGTGAGGCATACCGAGGCATACCAGATCACCGTTCCAATGCTGTGTGAAATATGTTCAGGGGGTGACGGTGGCTCTTATATTAAGTATACATCCAGGTTGCCATATTTTATCCATGCTAGTTTATTTATTTATTGTATGTGATGTTTCATCTCCAAAACATAAATTATGTTTTTACTCATTAAAGTGAACTTGCCATGAGAAGTTGTGACATCATTTTTGTTTGCACTAAAACCGAGTATGTTTAAGTTTACACAGGTGTGTACACATAGCGTATCAAGCTTCATATAACATGTTTTCATAGTGATCTTTTTTATTGATAATCCGTACAAACCAAACTTCCCAGTAATTCTATTAGAGGCCACCAATGTTCCAGGATTTGTGTGCTAAAAATCCAAAGATCTCAGTGAGAGTGTTTCATTGAACCCACTTTCAGCCACATGAAACTATTTGTAATATACGTGCAGGTGTTTCTGACCAGAAAAGTTTCTGCAATTGTCTGACGTGCCAACTCAACCTACAGTAACCTTTCCACGTAACCTCTCACATTTTTGTTGATCATAGAGGGCAAGTAATTGTTTTCAGGCTTGTCTTAAATAGCTTTTTTTTTTCATTTTAGTATTAATTGATTATATGCACTATGGGATGACAGAGACATCTGATGCACACCATGTGAGAACACAGCTGATGAGAACTGGCAACATGTGGTGACAATAATTGTTTGAAGCTTTTTCCATTGCCATATTTTACTATGATTCTTCACTTAATCACTTTTATGTCTCAGTTATGTCTTCATTCAAATGCCAGCACTTTATTGATGTGTACTCCCCAAATAGTCTATGCTTATGAAATATGAAATCCCCAATTTAAAGAGAGTTGAAGATGGTTCCTCCAATTTTTGCAAGCTGTGCCATACCAATAGGTTTTGCAATCACTACTGAACTTTCAACAGAGCTGTTTAATGGGAAATGTCATCACTTCCCCCCCCGCCCCCCCCATTCAATTTTATTATTTTTAGAGCAAAGAAATGAGACAAAAACAAACTGGTACAAAAATATTTAAAGAAGACAAAAGTACGAAAAATTAGCAATTTGTTTCTAATTGCTCTGCATCCGTGTAATTTTTCTTATAAGAAGCAATGAGACTCTTTAATACTTTCATAATCAGTGGTTATGCAAATTCATTTATAGCATAACAAGCCATCTGACACGATGGGGTAAAACAAATTAAAGGGATCGTATAGTGCCAGGAAATCAAACCTGTTTTCCTGGCACTATAGGCTCCTGGAGTGCCCCCCTCCCACGGGGCTGAAGGGGTTAAAACCCATTCAGCCACTTACCTGAATCTAGTCGCGATGTCCCTCGGCGCTGGATCAGGCTCCACCGACGTTCCTCCGCAGCTGCGTAGAACTGATGCCTCATTATTCATTGCTTTCCTATGGGGAAAATCTGACGCTGGAGGTCTGTGAGGATGTCCAGCGTCAGAAAACTGACCAAAAGTCTGTTTAGATTCCAGAAGCCCTCTAGTGGCTGTCTGGTAGACAGCCACAGAGGGCAGATTTAGAGCTGCAATGTTTTACATTGCAGCACTAAGTACAAAATGGTCACAGCACCCAGACTACTTCAATTAGCTGAAGTGGTCTGGGTGCCTACAGTGTCCCTTTAATGATTTCTGTGAATACAAAATTATAGTTTTTCTTTCCAGAGAAGCAAATGTAAAGTTTTAAGCACATGTAGGCAGCTCTTTCACTCAATTTTTTGTTTTCACAAATCCCAGCACAGTAATATTCTGTTCACCTAAGTAAACTATTGTATATCTTGCTGTTATTGCATCTTGAAGATCTGATATTTGTCCTGTGGTCCTCTTGGAAATTCATCACAATCTTTAAACCTTCAGTGACCTATCTCTAATACTATACTATTTCCTGGAATTATACAATACTGTATAAATGACTGATAAGCAGAACAGCTTGGCTTCTAGATTCTGCGCTAGATTACCAACACTGGCTTTGATCTTTGTATGTTTTGCTTGACGTGCCTAGAGGAATATGTATTCGGTGTTGCAGCGTACAGCTTTCACACATTCAGTGTCTGGTGTTATATCTTCTCATTATAAAGCCATCACTATAGAGACCATAAACAAAGATGTGCTTACAGAGAAACAAGAGTGTAGTACTGTAACTGGGCTCTTGTGACTTAATGTTAGATATAAAGCACAAAAGGTGATAATTTTGTTTATATTTCACTTAATACAGACCTATAATGCAAATCCCTAGGTAGGTACTATAAAAAGGTGCCTAAACGGGCTCTCAAAATCACTAGACCATAACCACTACAGCATATTATAATTAAGATATTACTGGGATGCTACATTTATGATCAATTCAGGTTTTGTTAAACAATTTTTAAATGGTTTGACAAAAAAAACAGGAGATTCTTCTGTACTTTAAGTCACCTTTTCTCTAGAATTCGGAATGACAATTAAATTAAAGGACCACTCTAGGCACCCAGACCACTTCAGCTTAATGAAGTGGTCTGGGTGCCTGGTCCAGCTAGGGTTAACCCATTTTTTCATAAACATAGCAGTTTCAGAGAAACTGCTATGTTTATGAATGGATTAAGCCTTCCCCCATTTCCTCTAGCGGCTGTCTCATTGACAGCCGCTAGAGGCGCTTGCGTGCTTCTCACTGTGATTTTCACAGTGAGAGCACGCCAGCGTCCATAGGAAAGCATTATGACTGCTTTCCTATGTGACCGGCTGAATGCGCGCGCAGCTCTTGCCGCGCGTGCGCATTCAGCCGACGGGGAGGAGAAGAGGAGGATCGGAGGAGGAGAGCTCCCCGCCCACCGCTGGAAAAAGGTAAGTTTTTACCCCTTTCCAGAGCCGGGAGGGAGGGGGTCCCTGAGCGTGGGGGCACCCTCAGGGCACTATAGTGCCAGGAAAATGAGTATGTTTTCCTGGCACTATAGTGGGCCTTTAAGGTTTCTCATT